CATACTTTAAAACAAATTTACAGATTACTTCAGGGGCAAAACCATTAAGGCATTTAAAAATAGCTTTTAAAAATGAGAAATTTATAAAATGTTCAAATGTCATCATGTTGTATTTTTTTATAATTTTGCAGTGATGCCACTTCACCGGTTTTTGATCGAATATTTTTAATGCTTGCTTGTGAAGTGAGAGTAAAGGTTTTAAAACAGACTTTGTGGCCGGGGCCCAAACGATGGAGCAATAAGACATATGTGTTTTTATTTTAAGCGCCAAGAGAATCTGTCTTTTTCCAACTGCTGTCAGTTAGGCCTGACAGAAATAAAAGTCAGTCACCAAACACAGTTTTCCAACACGTAGTGAGTATTTCTCATTTGTCATTGCGGATATTAGAGGATGGAAACTGGACTCAAAAAGATGAGACAGTAGACCTTCTGGTTTATCCCCTTCTAATGTAAAGTATGACCGATTACTGGATTACGGACATTTCTGGTATTCGACATGCTTTCACACATAACAATCTTTTTAGACTTTGGAAACATTTGCTTTTTATTTCCCAAAGATATGGAAGGAGGAGAGGAGAGAATGGATATTTTAGCTGCCTGAAATAATCCGTTCCATAACATGGGAAGAAGTTAATTTACCTGAATTATTTTAACTGTGTTTATTCCTCTCCCTTCATCAACAACAAACTCTGTGGATCTGGAGACATTTGATCATTATTTGCCAAAGTTATGAGAGGGGAATCATATATTTTAGCCTCCTGATATAATCCGTTCCCCCATAACATGGGAAACAATAACAAATCCTGTGAATTTTGAAACTGCAATTATTTTTCTATATTATGTTTGAAAGATTTATTATTTTATATTTTGAAATCCAAAATAGTTCAAATAAATATGACTGTTGGTTTGATGATCTTTATGAAATGAAAATAGCATTGAATGGAGAAAGCTTTCTGGATGGAAAATGAAACATCTTCAAACTTGGAAAACAAAGTCCAGTGATTTTTGGTTTGAACCTTTTTGGGGAATATTTTCTAAATTTTAGATAAATTGTAGAAAGATCCTAAAAGGGGGAAAAGATTATATCAGGTGGCTAAAATATATGATTCCCCTTTAATAACTCTGGCAAATAATGATTAAATGTCACCAAATCCACAGTTTGTTGTTGATGAATAGAGGAATTGTTATGTGTGATAGCCTGTAGGATACTACATGTAGGATACTAGAAATTCCTTTAATCCAATAATCTGTCATATTTGACATTATAACAGGATTTAGCAGAAAGTCTACTCTCTCATCTTCACCCAGAGGGCTAAGCCCCTCATCTCCTAGAACCCTAGATCCTCCCCTGCTCAGTAGGTTGTAGGGGGAGTGTTGCCCTAGTGGTCAGAGCAGTGCGTTGTGCTCTGATTCCCACAGCTGGCACTCTGGATCTCTGACCACACACTGCTTCCACTGTGGCTCCCCATGGTGGCGACCCACTGCTCACCAAGGAGATGGGTTATGATCAGAGGTATAAATAATTACATTTGAGAAAATTGAAAAAAAATACTTTTGGGAGTACTTATACTTTAAGCTACTTTTTACTTTCATATATGTAAAAAAGTTTAAACATCTCACCATCCCTGATTGAGTGTTCCAGTTCCCCACCAACCACCAGTATATCTGAGTAATTGACAGATGAGGTGAAAATGGAGGAAAGCTGCAGATATTGCAGCCTAAAGTTCTTTATGCTTCCCTGACATTTATGCATTACCTACAGTAAAAAGACTTTTACTTTTATTTTGGAAAATGTCATTTACAAAAGTGTTTTGTATGACAGAAATTATTATTTTTTCAGTTCAGTAGCTTTTGTTTGTCCCGTAGTAGTAGTGCAGTAGTAGTACACCTTTCACACACACGTTCACAAATCACAGATAAAAAATAAAAGAAGAAACACGTAAAATATTTTAGAAAGATAAAAATAAGGTGGATAAAAGAGAGAGGAAGGGGATGAATGAGAGCATAGGCCTATATGCATGCAACATATTGCTATCTGCTTTTCCTGATAGAGTTTAGCAGCTGGACAGCAGAGGGAATAAAAGAGTGTTTGTATCTGTTGGTCCGAACTGGTGGATATTTAAAATGGGAACCAGAGGGTAGAAACTGGAATTCATTATGTAGGGGATGGGTATAATTATCCAACATGGACTCCTTCCTGATTACCTGATCTTCAGACATTTCAGTCATGTTTTTCTGTTGAACACCCATGATCTTACTGCACACCTTAATAATCTTAGATCCTCTTCATGTATCTTTTCTGCAGCTTCCTTCAAGGTGGAGCC